ATTACTCAAAAGAATCCATATCATATTCATTCTCTAACTACTCATGTCATGGATTTCGTGGTTACTATTCATGAAACCCTAGATTTGTCCAAAATCTTTGAAAACATGAAGTGAGTAGAGAAATCTTACCACAATCAACCTTAAGATGGAGAAAGAGGAGTTTCCCAATCATTCCCAAGATCCAACACCCTCAAATCCGAAAATCCCTCTTGCCTTTGAAGGTGTAGATCTCTTAACCCAATGTTATTTGCAAGAGAATGGTTGGTGTGGTTTAATGAAGATTAAAATCTAAACAACTTTATAGTTTACACTTTTTGATTTCATGGATTCATGTGAAAATGCCATTTTTCCAAGCTCTCTTTCCTCTCGTCAATGGTTGTTTTCGGACAAGGTGAGAGATGGCGAGTTGTGAAGTGAGAGAGTCACTTAAGTTCAATTTTAACATTTCACGTCTCTGCTCGCTGGGTTGCTCGCTTAAGCGAGCTGCAACCCTCGAGCAAGCCTTTTGCTCCCTAGATTGCTCGCTTCAGCGAGCAACAAGTTGACTTGATTTTCATACATCTTTCCCACTTCCTTTCAAGCCAACACTTAGTATTTCTTGTTAGAGAAATATAAAATCATTAATATAGTCTCACCCAACTGCTAAATTTTTTGGGTTGAATTGGTTCTTTACATGGTATCAGAGCTTCGTGTCCCGGATTCGATCCTCACCGCTCCCTACTTTCTCTTGTGGAATTTATTAGCACATGTAGGTGGACTTGTGCATTATCCACCCTTCATGCTCAGTGGGCTCTCGTGTGAGGGGGTGTGTTAGAGATATATAAAATCATTAATATAGTCTCACCCAACAGCTTAAGCTTTTGGGTTGAATTGGTTCTTTACATTTCTAAATGTGTGTTTTCTCTCATAATCATTACTCGACATTTTAGTCTAATTGCCTTATGTAATTCTGGCCATAATTCATATTTATTTCTTCTTATATCCTTAATGAGTTCACAATTCATAATTCACAGTTTAGGGTTATTATACTTTTCCTAATGATAATACCCGTGTATATCTGTCTGAACGATTTCAAAACTTTTTTGCATCTCATGACATCTTCACCTGGCATCATGTTCATACACCCCCAACAAAATAGGGTTGCCAAATGCAAAAACTGTCACCTCATCGAAACTACTCATACCTTTTTACTGCATGGCTATGTCCCTTTGCATTTTTGCAGAGATATTGTCCTCACTGCATGCTATCTCATTAATCGCATGCCCTCTTTTGTCCTTGATAACAAAGTATCACACTCTGTCTTATTTCCCCATCAACTGCTGCATTCCCTGGCCCCTTACGTCTTTGGTTCTACTTGTTTTTTCCATAACCTCAATACCAGTATTGACAAGTTCTTCTCAAGTCATATAAATGTGTGTTCCTTGGTAACAAATGGGTTATCACTGTTACTCTTCCAATCTCCGTCGTTACTTTATCTCAGACGTTGTTGCCTTCTTTGAGTCTGTGTTGTTCTTTGGCTTCGTCTCCTTTTGCAATGTCTCTGATTATACTCAGTTATCTCTACCCCCTATTTCGGTTGAATATACCCTACCATCATTGCTCCTTTCTGCTCCTTTGGTTCAATCTAATCCATTGTCATTTCCCCTGACCACTCGTCCAGATGTCTCGACACTTGAACCCTCCTTCTAGCTTTATCACCGGCTTCAGCTCTGACCTTGACCAACCCTTTGCTCTCTGCTAAGGTATTCATAGTTCTCGTAATCTCTCACCTCATTATGTTACTTTGAGTTATCATCGCCTCTCTCCTTTGTATTTTTCTTGTTTATCTTCTTTGTCTTCTGTATCTATTTCTAAGACTACATGCGCTCATTCCGGATGGCGACAGGCTATGATTGATGAGATGTGTGCACTTCAGAGCGGTGGTATTTGAAATTTGGTTCCTCTTCATTCTGGGAAGTATGTTGTTGGTTGCAAATTGATATATACTCTCAAAAGTTGTACTTGATGGTCAAGTGAATCGTCTCAAGGCTTGGTTGGTGGCCAAGGGATACATTGACCTTTGTTCGCCTTTTTCTACTATGGCTGTTTTCTGTCACTGACCTTTTTATCAGTTGGATGTCAAAAATGCTTTCTTCCATGGTGATCTAGCGGAATAAGTTTATATGGAGCAACCTTCTGGGTTTGTTGCTCAGGGGGAGTCTGACTTAGTTTGTCATCTCTGTAAGTCTTTGTATGGTCTCAAACAGTCTCCATGGGCTTGGTTGGGAAGATTTAACATTATTGTACAACAGTTTGGCATGACTCGGAGTGAGACTGATCACTCAATATTATATCGCCACTTTGTTTCAGGCTCCACTCATTTGGTGGTGTATGTTGATGACATTGTCATTACGAGTGATTATCATCATGGCATTACTCAGGTAAAACATCTCTGCTATCATTTTCAGATAAAGGACCTTGGAAAACTCCGGTGTTTCTTTGGGAATGTGGTGGTCCAATCCAAAGATGGTATTGTGATGTCCCACAAAATATATGCTCTAGACATTCTTGAGGAGACAACTCTGTTGAATGCCAAGTTAGTCGATACTCCTATGGATTCAAATGTCAAGCTTCTGCCAAATCGGGAGTAGTCATTCTCAGTTCGAGGAAGGTATAAAAGATTAGTTGAGAAGATGAACTATTTCATAGTCACTTGACTAGACATCTCATTTGAGGTCAGTGTAGTAAGCCAGTTCTTGAATTCTTCTTATGAAGATTACTAGAATGCAATGGTTCATATTCTAAAGTATATCAAAACAGCTCTAGGAAAATGTCTATTCTATGGAGACAAAAGGTTCTACTAGGGTTGTGGGATAGACTGTCATTGAGTCAGAGAAAAGGTCCTATCGGGAGATATTGTCACTAATTTTGTTAACTCAAATGATTAACGGGCTGATGTATTCATTAAGTTTTTGAGAGGTCCTCGAATAGATTACATATGTAATAAGCTTAGTGCATATAATCTATATGCTCCAATTTGAGGGAGAGTGTTGTAAATAGAATATTATAAAGTAATTTAGCATGAGGGACGAAATCCCTCGTAATGTATATTTTTTTGTAGTTCCTTTTCATTCAATTATATAATAGAGCCTTTGTTGTGTAGTTGAGACATAGATTTCATCAATACCTCTTGAGTCTTGATATTTAACAATATATATATATATATATATATATATATATATATATATGAGGTAGGATCCTTTGACACCGGTGTCAAAGTTGAAGTTTGACACCTCATCTGAGAGCCGTTAGATAAAAAAAGATCAACGGTGTCACATACTCATAAATCATAGTCGTTGATCTTTTTTGATCTAACGGCTCTCAGATGAGATGTCAAATTTTAAATTTGACACCAGTGTCAAAGGATCCTGCCCCTATATATATATATATATATATATATATATATATGGGTCAGGATCATTTTACACCAGTGTAAGTTACACTCTCAATCTTATCCGTTGATTCCATTTAGATCTAACGGCTAAATTTTTTTAGTAATGTGAGCCATTAAATACAAGTGGTTCAATGGTCGAGATTGAGTGTAAGACTTCTAACTCTTACACCGGTGTAAGAATATCCTGCCCCTATATATATATATATATATATATATATATATATATATATATATATATATATATATATATATATATATAAAGGAGGCCATTCACTTATTCCTACATAAGTTTTGTGCACTTTTAATAACTTTTTTTAAAGTACGAATTCAACAAATCTAGCTCGTGAATTATGACATTATCTCGATGACCATGCACACCAAATTTTATATGAATTTGACATTCATAGGTATTTAATCTTATAGTTGACATTTACTTGTATTTAAAAAAATATATATGTTAAAATAAAGTTGTAAGTTGAAGTAGCAACTAGTTTTTAAATTGCATAGTCTTTTAAACTTGATCTACTTAATAAGAACATTTAATCCAATGGTTGAATTGCTGAAATTCAATTTCCTTAAAAGGTTATTAAACGGTGTAAACTTGAGAAGACTTATTCCTAAGTAAGTGGATCCCCACCCTATATATGTATGCATATATGGAAATGCTTTTACTAGCTGCGATCAAAGAATGAAAATCATAGAATGGTTAGAGATGAAGTTACTAAGGTTCTGTTTGAAGAAAGTTTCATTGCTAAGGTTTGAACTTTAATCTATCTTTCTTCCTGAACATGAGGTTTACCAACAACTGGGAAAAATGTCTCCCAGTGTGAACGACAACTTGTGTTTAATTTCAATTAATTGTACACATGATAAGAATATAATGAGTAATACTTAATCAGAAAGAATCTTAAAAGTTTATAAATTCAAAAACAATCATGTATGTTGTCAGGGTTTATATAACTAATATATTAAAAATGTTAAAAAAAGTACTTTTAAATATATGCTTAACTAGTTATTTTATAAAAAAATTATAAACATAAGCTAAAATTGTTTTAATAGAAGTGAAGATTTTGACATATAATAATGCGTATGAGCTAATACATATTTACTTTTGATATATTTCACTAAAAAATAAAATGCCCCAAGATATATCTTTAATGTTTTATTCAATAAAATAATTTTTTGACCACTTTTGAAATTTGATATATATGTGTGTGTGTGCGTGTGTGACAAAATTGGAGAAGGACTGGAAAATTTGGCCATAATCTTGGAATATTTTCTGCCAAAACCTAGCTTTTTATATATTAGCATTTTCATTTGGGGTATAGCACTTATCTGCAAGCTATGTGACTAGAAGGAAGTTAGTATTGATGGTATGTAACAGTTCAACAATGGTATTTCGTTAATGGTTTGTTAAAGTCTTTGACAAATATTTAGGGAATAGAAGGAAATTTTACATCAATGTAAATTGCTTTACATTTTATTACATGTAAAATGTGTATGGCATGGTATTATTGTCAAAAACAAGTTTAATTAATATAGGAATATTATATATACACCTTTCCAGGGAGTATATGGTTGATTTGGTTGGAAGGCCTGGGGCAACGTGCCAACCTGATTCTGCTCTAAATTCTGCATCTTCAATGTTGATCCCTTCACCGTTATGTCATCCAAAGTTCAAGCCAGTTGAAACAGCTGAATTTACAAAGACATTAGCCCAATTGTATTTCATGGACAGTCAAGCACTGCATCTTGTATTTGATACGACGTCAGGTTATTTTCTTTGTCTCTCTGAAGATATACTTGGATGTGAAATAGAATATTTTTCCTAAATGGATAAAAACTGTACATAGCATTGAAATATATTGACTAAGCTAAATATTGTCTATTCTAGAATAAAGCTAAATCTACGGTAACTAATAATCTATCGTAATAATAAAATAATGTACAATAAGTACAAATGCAACCAACGTGGGACTATTACAAACGCTCCCGTAAGTTAGTGAATAATATGTCTATGATTCCCTGCTTGCCAATAAGATCCTATAACTTTTTAGGCATCCTTTAGTTAACACATTTGCCAATTGGATCCTTAAGGAGCATATGATGTGGTGGTGATGAGTCCACTGTCAAATTTCTCCTTAATGAAATATTTATCTATCTCAATATATTTTGTCTTGTCTTACTGAACCGTATGAGCAATGCTAATGATTGATTAGAAAACAGTTTCATAGGAGTTTTCTACTTTATTCTAAGGTCATCCAATTTCATCTTCATCCTACCTGCCTCATATAGAGTAGGTTTGGTGAAGGTTAACCTAAATTTCTCATGCACTAGGAAGAAACATTCAGTTCCTGCTTGTTAAATATCAGAACCCGAGACACATACTGAAATCCGTGTGTTTCAATTACACAACGGAGGCTCTATTATATAAGTGAATGAAAAGAAATCACAAAGAGATATACATGATATTGGACTTTGTCCCTCACACTAAACTACTCTATCCTACTATATTTACCACACTCCCCTTCAAGCTAGAGCATATAGATCATATGCACCAAACTTGTTACATATGCAATCTATTCGAGGACCTCTCAAAGACTTAGTGAACATATCAGCTAGTTGATCATTTGAGTTAACAAAATTTGTGAGGATATCTCCTGAGAGGATCTTTTCTCTGACGAAATGACAATATCTCAATATTCTTAGTCCTTTCATGAAATACTGGATTGGAAGTAATATGCAAAGTTGCTTGATTATCGCAAATGAGAGTTGCTGGTCCAGTGTCTCCAAACTTGAGCTCCTTAAGCAATTATTTTAGCATGCTTATTTTAGCCAGATGAGTTCACTAGTGGTTGTGGCTATGGAACGATACTCTGCTTCAACACTCGATTTGGCAACTACACTTTGTTTCTTGCTTTACCAGGATACTAATTTATGTCTAACAAATACACAATTCCTAAAGATGGATCTCCTATAAGTGGGGCTACCTGCCCAATCAACATCTGAGTATCCTATAACTAGGGTATGACCATTGTCTCCATAGAAGAGACCTTTTCCTGGGAGTTGTCTTGATATACTTGAGAATACGAGTCATTGCATTCTGGTTATCTTCACAAGGAGAATTTAGAAATTGACTTACCACACTCACAACAAACAAAATCTCTGGTTGAGTGATTGTGAGGTAGTTTAGCTTCCCAAATAATCTTCTATATTTTTCTAGATCTGAGAATGGCTCCCCTTGATTTGACAAAAGCTTGACATTTGGATCCATAGGAGTGTTGGCTGTTGAGGTAGTTTGGTTCATTCAGAGCACTGGAAGCCACAGGTGTACTATCGTGCTGGAAGGCATAGGCATCAAAACAACCTTGGAGGGGAAAAATGACCAGATCTGGCCATTGGGACGCTAGAGAGGTAGACACGTGCTGCAAAAGTCGTCGGTTAATGCTGGAAAAGTTGCCGATGAAAGCCGGAAAAGTCATCGGTGAATACTGGAAAAGTCGTTGGTGAATGTAGAAAAATGTCACCGATTGATGCTGGAAAGTCATCGGTTAACGTCAGGAAAGGTGACGGGTCAACACTTGAAAGGTGATGGTTAATGCTTGAAAAGTTGTCGAGAACGCCAAGAAGGTTGCCGGTGAACGGTGGTTAACGCCGGTCAAAAGCTCTTGGATAGCTGTCGGAGAAGGACTGAGACCGGAAACTAACGAACGAGATAGTTTCCGGAATTTTTTTTTATTTAATGGATAGTGGGCCCTCCAAAAAGGCACGAATTAGGTTTTCTCCACCCCACACTCGCTAGTCGGGTTTAACGGGAAGTTTTTTTTTTTTTATGCTCTAGATACCATGTTAAATATCAGGACCCGAGAGGCATATACTGAAATCCATGTGTTTCAACTAAATAAAGGAGGCTCTATTATGTAATTGAATGAAAAGGAATTACAAAGTTATATACATGATGTGGGACTTCGTCTCTCACACTAAGCTACTCTATACTACTATATTTACAACAGTGTTGATCTCAAACTTTGAAGAGTTTCAAAGCTACGTCTTAATAAGAATGTCCTCATCATCCCATGTCTCACATTTTTGGTCACTCTTCTTAGAAGCAATCCCTTCAATGTAGTTAAGTTTTGACTACCTTTAAGAGTAGTATGGATGACTTGGACCCACTGCAGCTAAATTTTTTCCATTAAGGTGATATATTGGTGAAAGATCCAAAGATCATTGGATTTCACAGGTAATGTGTTTGAGGCAGACAGGGTGGTCGTAGAGTCAATGTTGGTCTTTGGATTGGACATGGTGGTAGAGGAATTGAGTCGGATATCAAAAAATGGTCCTTGTTTGGACAGAAGGGCTGATGAGATGGTACTGGTTGGTCAAGGTGAGGACAGATCCAAGTAGAGGAGGCCGAGACGATTGAATGAGACTGGCAGCAGGCTCAATGGCAGCCTGACATGCTACCAACATGTCGTTTAAGCAGTGGTGCATAGATCTGATGCTAGGAGGAACTGAACACCAGTTTTGGTGGTTTGTTGAGGAAATCATGGTCTCCTAGAGTAAACCTAAAGTTCACCCTGCAATCGTATCTTGGGTTCTTCTCCTTGAGTTGTAAACTATATGGATTTTGGTTCTACAATGGTGGGCTCCTTTGGAAATGAAGCGGGAAGATAGGAAGGGACATGGATGCATCCTAATTTTTGTCTTCAGTAGAGTTCTCCCCTTAAAGTGAAACATTGGAAAAGAAGGGTTGATGTTCAAGGACATTGGTGTTGTAGGAGATATGGAACTTTTTGATGGAGGGACAATAGCACCAACACTCTTTTTGGTTGGGAGAGTAACCAACAAAGTTGATGGCTTTGCGATTAAAACATCCTCTGGCCAACTTAGATCTTGCTGCCTGTTGTAAAATCAGAATTGTCACCACTCATACTACTGAATCAGAAAATGAAATAGAGAATCAGAAGCAAAATCATTTGCTGAAACAAGGATTCATCAACCCAGCCAAAGAAGGGTTCAAAATCTGGATAAAAAAATTGCAATTTCAGCCTAAAGTAGCACTAGCTGGAGATGTCATCAGAGCTTCAGTCACCAACGATCCCTTCCAGCCATTGGTTGGCCTTGTTTGCACCGAAAAAGTACATGCCCAGCCACGAACAGGTCCTGGAACAACAGTAAATTATGGAGGGCCTAAAAGGTTTAGAGGCTTAATTAGGTTCTTTCGAAGCTTTGAAGTTATCTTCTTTGTTCAAGACAGAGGGAGTGTTATTTAGTATCTTAGTATTAGTTTATCTTTTTTTTTTTGGTAAATTTAGTTTATCCCTTTTGTTGAGGGAATTTCCTAGTAGAGCTTTGGTGTTGTTGTGGTGGTTCCAGAAACCTTATACTCTCTTGTATTTTCCATTTCAGTACACACACACACGCACATGCGCGCGCGCATACACACAGACATACATATATATATATATTTATTTATTTGTGCGTTTGTATTGAGCTTTGGTGGTGGTGCTCTGTTGCTTGAAATTCTGTGTTTTTTCTATGTGGTGTAATCCTTAATGGGGTTTAGTTTTCTCCTTTTATAGGAGAAAACTACTCTCCTGCGGCTGACACAAGACAATAGGTGAGAGAAAAATAATAGGTGGGAGAACAAAAAATCTAAGGTGGGGCTCGTTTATGATTGTATATGTTGGAAGAGGTCATCTTCTCCAATAACAGGAGAAAATGATTCCCCATCCTTAATATATCATTATTTTGTGGTGAGGGAGGAAATAATAATTTGAGGATATAAAGGTTGTATGAGAAATATAGAGAGGTTAGCATGGTTTTTGTCCTCGTGGTGATATGCCACTAAAATTACTGATTTCCATCATGACAGGAGGTGCTGTTAATTGTAGTGATGGAATAGATCTACTGCGAATTGAAGCTTTTGGTGCAAACTATACTGGTGGAAACAGCCATCTGGCTGATTTGAGTAAGAATGAACTGTCTTTTTCTATCTAAAAGAAAAGCAGAGAAAAAATGAGCCATCTCTTTCTCATAAAGCAGATCACATTTAATTGGAGCTTGCTAATGTTTAATTTACCTAATCTGTTTTTGATAAATATGCTCAAAATGCTTTGTATACTCTGTTTGAGGTAATATTGTAATGGCATTGGATTCTCCCCATTTTATATGCCATCTTATGCAGGTCCTGGTAGAGAGGAATACGTGTCTTACAAAGACGCAAACCAGTCGGTCATGAATTATCCAAGTCATGAAGTTGACCTTCACAAGGAGGAACTGGACATTCCATTGGGTGAACTTATTTTGAAGGAGAACATTGGTACAGGTAATTCATTTGATACCTTGTGCATGATATATACATTAAAGAATTCGTTATTCTGTCAAAGCAATCTTATGTATCTTAAAGAATGTATCATGAAACACAATAAAATAAGAGCAATCATAACTATTTTTCAGGGTCATTTGGAACTGTCCTTCGTGCAGACTGGCGTGGTTCCGTAAGCATTTATTTTCTTAAAGTCTTCACTTATTCATCTGTCCTCATTTTAAGGATATTATTATTCATGCTGTTCTGGTTCTATATCATTCATTGTTGTTAGACAAAATTAAGAATGGGAATGACTGACTCAGTGTTGTTAGTCTCCTGTCCCTATATTTATACTAAAAAATGAAGTACAGTTCACGATAGATAGGCCCAGTCCAATAACATAATAAACTAATGGCTATTGTCTAACACTCTCTCCTCAAGCTGGAGCATATATGTTGTCAGAATCCCACTGTACAAAATATTTCCTTGTATATATTTCCTTGTATAGACAGGATTACATTCCATAATAAGGAGATTAGATTAGCTGTAGTAATTTTGTATTTATGGTGTAGGAATCATTGACATGCAATTATAGGAATTTACAGTGGGTGCAGGAGTGAGCAGTAGTTTAGGAATTTTCTTTTTAAATTACTTTTTATTCTATTCAGGACCACATGCTTTTCTAACTAGTTAGTTAGAAAAACTTTCTCCGACATGTACAAAATCTGTGGGAGCCTTTGTAGTCTTGTGGCCTGCATTGCCACTAATTCTTCTGCTGTAATGAATAAGCCTGCATTGCTGAGGGCTTTTTTTTTTTTTTTTCATCCTAAGCTTTTGATTTCTACCCAGGCATTTTTAAATGTCAGAAATCCCCAATAGCTATGCACAGTCAGAAAATATGGGCACTGCCGAGTTGCAAAATATCCAACAGAGTCTGCAGCTCAATGGAAAAAACTACTTAAACTGGTCTCATTTCGTCCCAACCTTTCTGTTAGAGAAATATAATATAAAACCATTAATGTGGTTGTCATCTAATAGCATAAGCTTTTGGTTGAATTGATGTTTTATATGGTATTAGAGCTTATGTGACCAAAGTCTACAGACTTAACAAGAAACTCCATTGACAGCTAACAGAAAACTGCATAACATTAGTACAGAACAATATTATATAGGTACTATTCTAACAATTATTAATATCATTATCATTCTTTTTTTATGTTTTCATGCTGTTCTTTCTTTGTTGGGTTGGGTTACGGTGTACAATCCCATTACTAAATCCTAGCTCTGTATCCTTTCAGGATGTTGCTGTGAAGATTCTCAAGGTGCAAGGTTTTGATGCAGAACAATTTGAAGAATTTCTAAAGGAGGTATGCGTTATTACTGATGTGAATAACATATATTCATGTTCAATTTTATGTTTTTAGATAGGGTGCGAAGGATTTTGTATTAGATTTGCACATATGAAATGTTTTGTCCTCGTTGATTTCCCTTCAATACCCCAGTTTATTTTGTAGGTCTCACTCATGAAGCGCCTGCGGCATCCAAATATTGTACTTTTAATGGGTGCAGTTTTTCAACCCCCAAATTTATCAATAGTAACAGAGTATTTATCAAGGTATAATAATTTCGTCAAACCATGATCTTTGGCTGTTCCTCACTTATGTGCTTAGTTGGAAATGATTTTCAGCTGAATGTAATATTCTTAAGCAAATAGTCTCTTTGAATCGCAGAGGTAGCTTGTATGAACTTCTGCATATACCCGGTGTTGGATTATCACTCAGTGAGAGGCGTCGTTTGAGAATGGCTTATGATGTGGTATATCTTCAATGATTAAAACTGCTAGTCTTTTGATTTTTCTGTCTTTTTTGGCATCAAACATAAAATAATACTTTCACTAACACTTTGTGAGATGTTCATGTTTGTCTAGGCAAGTGGAATGAATTATCTTCATCAAATGAGACCTCCCATTGTTCATAGAGATTTGAAGTCTCCAAATTTGTTAGTTGATGATTCATACACAGTTAAGGTAACAGTTGTAGACTAATTGTGTTTTGCTTGTTCCTTTGATTGATTAGATGCTTTAAATAACTAAAATTACTAAAATGTTACCTGACTATAGGGTTAAGGTATCTGATAAATTTCTTGCTTGGTTTCAATAATCTCTTGTTCTCACTATATAGGTATCTGATAAATACCTATATAATTCAGTTTCCATTGTGTAGTCCAACACTTAGATTTTACTAAATATCTCTTGTTTCCTCTTCCATTAACAGCTGCTAATAACATTATTAAAAAAACTAGAGCGGGACAATAGAATTCCCACTTTTAATAAATAAAATACAAAAGAACAGAAAAGAGAGGGTTCTCCCTGTTCTCATACCTCTTCTCTTTGTTCTTTTTGTCTATAAATTGTTGAGCTAGAATCTGAGGATGTATCCCTTGTCGTGACAGTTAATGGCTGAAAGGGTAATCTGGCTATTCCCCATATGGAAATACCATTTTTATTGACACGCTTAGCAGTTCCTATAATGCTTTTGCTTACTGTACCCCTTAAAAAAATGAATGCTCTTGCTTAGGTTAGCTATTCCTTGTACATACACTCACAAACTCCAGGTACACATTTATGGACATATGAATCAATAGATTATGGGGTATTGACGTTCATTTTGGTTATAATATTTACTTCAGGTAGGTGACTTTGGTCTTTCACGTACAAAGGCAAATACATTTCTTTCATCTAAAACAGCAGCCGGAACTGTAAGTTCTATTCCTTGACTGAAGTGTTAATATGTTTGATTCTGTTAAGTGAAATAATTCTTTGATGGTTTAACAGTCTAAATTAATCATTTTTTCCCTTTCTGAACATGATCAGCCTGAATGGATGGCACCAGAAGTCATTCGAGGTGAATCATCAAATGAAAAATGTGATGTGTTCAGCTTTGGTGTAATCTTGTGGGAATTAGTGACCCTGCAACAGCCATGGAAACAATTAAATCCTTCACAGGTTATTTGCTTTGCCATAGTGCTTTGGGTTGTCAGCTAAACTTTGGAATACTAGATAATACAAAAGAAATTGTTCTTCTCTTTTAACTTGGTGATTGCTGTGTTGTTCTCTTATCTATATATGTGTATATATTTTAGACTTCATTCAAGATTCCATGTGGTACATTTATTCAGTCATCTTTCTAAAAATACTGGTAATAAAATTGCACTGAAAAACTTTGTTGAAAGTAAATTTAGAAAAAGAGAGACATATGATGAACCATGCTTTTCAACTACTTAATGGAGACTGTATATAAAGTACTAATGTAATAAATGCAATGATACAATTTCCTAATTATCATAATTACATGATTTGGTTAGTGTCTAGCTCATATAGTGAATCTAGACACTATTTACATCCCAAAAGTTTAAGCTGTTAGGTGAAGACACATGAATAGTAGTTTTATATTATGTCTCTATGACAACCCTTCATGCAAGAGCCCTTGGGACTTGAAGCACTGATGTATGGTGCAATGATAGTGAGATAGTTCAATTTCTCAACAGATCTTTGATACCTCCCATGGTCTGGTAGTCACTCCCCATCCTACCATGGGTCTGCATTAGTTTCGTCTAGTGTGTCTAGTGCATACTCTCTTGTGAATATCACAATATCAGCTATAGACTGAGGCACTTCAATATTGATAGAAATCTATTGTCTTGATAATGGTATACTGGTCATGATTGCTGAACTTCATGAGTGCTTTCTCTCTGATTGTGTAATATTATAATGGGTCCTAGAATATTATTTAATGATATACTTTTAGTGGTCTGGTTTTAAAATATAAAAAGGCTGTAGATCAAGGCGCTATAAATTCGCTCCATCTACAGCTCAACTTATACTGAATGCTGGATGAATAATTCAGGAATATTCAATCATCTTGGTTAGCAATTTAATCACTCATAATCAATCATTAATCACCCAAATTGCCGGCCCTTAAATTTAGGGTTCAACACTTTACTAAATCCTCCTTAACATTGAACAACCTTCAAGAATCAATGTTGATGCCTTATTTACTCTAGGATAGGGTTGGCAAAACGGGCCAACCCCGCCCGGCCCGAACCAACCCAAAAAAAATAAGCCGGGTTAGGGTTGGCTCAAAAATATGGCTCGTGGGTTGGCTTGAAAAAATAGCTTGCGAGTTGGCTCGAAAATTGGCTCGCGAGTTGGCTCGAAAATTGCTCGTGGGTTGGTTAGTTTTCAGCCTATTTAAATGATCCTGTAGTATTAATACACCAGCTATATGGCTTCCATCAGCTTAAACAAAGGGTTACAAAATGAGAAATAAAAGCAAAATATTTTAGTTTCGAATTTTCTTCACAACAAATTTGCATCAACATCAAGAAACAATCAGAACCACTTGCTACCAAGTGGGTAAGATATTTGAACCAAACAGAGCTAGCACAGCCTAACAATATAAAAATGGCAAGGATGTGAGAAGATTAAGGACTTAGGTTTAGAGAAGGAAGAAAATGATGACAACATGTGTGGGTTTTGTCCATTTTTGTATACTATATTTTGTATTTTTTTATATAAAATAAAATAAAATAAAAAACTCAACCCGCGAGCTGGCTCATTTGACCCGCGGGTTGGCTCGTTTTTTCACGAGTTGGCTCGGGTCGGGTTGACAACTCATTTTTGCCAACCCAACCCGGCTCATTTTTGGCAGGTTACGAGCCAACCCGACGGGTTAACTGTTTTTCTTGATGTTCAGATCTTTGCTTTTCTTGATATTCTGTATGATTGGATAACTTTTTTCTTGACTAGTTTTTTTGTTTTGATTTTTTCTCTCTGTCAGAGGATTTCCTGTACCTTTCTGCTTGCCAAAGAATTTCTTGTTCAGAATGGTTTTCTTTTAAGATTTGATTAAAATTTAGTTTTTGATAGAGCCCAGTGGTATCATTTGATCCATATGGCTGACCAAATCTAGTGTGATAAGACTTGGTTTCTTGTTGCAATAGTTTTCCATTAGGCGAATTAAAATTAATAATTCCAATTTAGCTGCAATTAACAAAATAAGTGATTAACTGTTTGTAAATGTATATTTCTCCATTATTCACAAAATAGAATGAGTTTTACAATATAACAAAGACAAAAGGGTAAAAGAGTAAAACAACAAAGGCTATATGGGCTAAGGCCCATAATACTAAGTTACAAGAAATCCCCACACTCCCCTCAAGTTGCGAGATAGATATTGACCATTCCCAACTTGTCTATTAAGTTACCAAAACTGACCTGTGTACACTTTTAGTAAGAAGGTCTGTTGTTTGTTCTTTGGTAGGGATATATGACATACACACTCTCATCGTCCAATTTCTCCTTGATGAAGTGATGATCAACCTCCACATGTTTTGTTCTGTCATGATGAACATGATTTTGAGCAATACTGAAAGGTGCTTTGTTATCAAATACAACCTTAATGGTAAGGAATAAGAGATCTTCAGTTCGCCTAGGAGTCTTCTTAACCAGACTCCCTCACAAATTCCATGAGCTAGTGCTCGGAATTCTGCCTCAGCACTGCTCCTTGCAACCACTGTTTGCTTCTTGCTTCTCCAAGTTATTAAGTTTCCTCACACATAGGTGCAATAGCTTGAGGTTGACTTTTTGTTTACCGAAGAACCAGCCCAATCTGCATCAGTGTAGATTTCAATCATCCTATTATATCCCTTTTTGAAAAACAATCTCCTTCTTGGCTTATTCTTGAGATACCTTAGGATTCTATATACTACACCAAGTTGTTTCTCTTTGAATGAATGCATAAATTGGCTAACCATGCTTACTGCAAAAGCAATGTTAGGTCGAGTATAGGACAAGTAGATTAATCTTCCAACCAATCTCTGATACTGCTCCTTGTCCACCTCTTCCCCATCTTCAATACCCAACTTAATGTTGGGTTCCATAGGTGTTTCAGCTGGCTTGCTTCCTAGCATACCTGTCTCCTGAAGCAAATCTAAGATGTACTTCTTTAAATAGATAGTGATCCCTGTTTTGCTCGGGCCACTTCCATGCCAGGGAATTACCTTAAAACCCCAAGGTACTTTAGTTCAAACTAACCTGCTAGATACTCCAGGAATCTAACTTTTCACGGTCATCACCAGTAATAATTATGTCATCCATATAGACTATAAGAATGACAACTTTACCATCCTTAAAGTGTTTGTGAAAAAGTGTGATCAGTTTGTGCCTGTAAGAAACCCTTCTTCTTGACTGCTTGAGTAAACTTATCAAACCATTCTCAAGGAGACTGTTTAAGTCCATAGAGATACTTCTTTAACTTACACACCAAGCTAACTCATTTTTCGAAACTAGGTGGAGGATCTATATAGACTTCCTCATGTAGGTCACCATTCAAAAAAACATTTTTCACATCCAGCTGTTGTAAGAGCCAATCCAGATTAGCAGCCAAGGATAGAAGAACTCTAACAGTGTTGAGTTTAGCAACAGGAGCAAATGTTTCTTAATAATCTATTCCATACATCTGGGTCTACCCTTTTGCAACCAAGCCAACTGGTTGCTTTCCTCTTGGTAATTCCACAATGTCCCATGTGTTATTCCTTTTCAAAGCATCCATTTCTTCAATGACAGCCAACTTCCAATTTGGATCATCAAAGGCTGGATATCTTTTGGAATCTTCGTACTATCCAAGATAGTGTTGAAGGCATGAAAACCTGAAGATAATGTATCATAAGAAACTTATTGAGAGATGTGATATGAAGTACAAGACCTGGTTCTTTTCCCGAGAGCAATTGGCAAATGTAAATCCCCATAGGCATGTGGACTCGGGTTGGAACTAGAAGCCGAAGTGGAATCCTGATAGTACAAAGAGTATTATTTACATTTTGAGGAGGTTGTCTCCGACTATAAACCGACACTTGTTTCTGCTGATTATTATCTCCATCTCTTTTCAATTGCTCATCTCCCCCTGTTTCGATTGTGGTGAGCTCTATAATGAAGGGATATATAAGGAAAAAGGTAAACTGTGGGTTCCCATGACTGGTCTTCATCTAGAAGCTCCCCCTGAACCGAAGGCTGCGAAAAGAAACATTGAGTTTCAAAGAAATAGACATCCACAGAGACAAAAATTAAGGTATTATTTACCATTGTCTGTCCGAAGAATTTTTGTGCTGGTGCCAAATTGGTTTTGAACCATCGCATGAAACTTTATAAAAACTTGCGAAGAATTTTTATGCAGGTGCCAAATTGGTTTTGAACCACAATATGAAACTTTTTGAAAACTTGTGCAGTATCAAACTCTTCTTTGAGGAGGTAAACCAAACACACTCGAGAATAGTCATCAATGAATGTTGTAAACCATCTCGAGTCAGAAACATTTTTTACACGAGATGGATCCCATATGTCATTGTGAATAAGAGTAAACGGGGAGGATTCTTTATATTTTTTAATGGGATATGATACACTAGAATGTTTTGCTAACTGACAGATATCACAACAAAAGACACTAGGTTTTTCATTGATAAAGAGGTTGGGTAACAATTTTTGAAGATAATGAAAATTTGGGTGGCCTAACCTACGATGCCACAACATTACATCATCACAAGAATTAGAAACAAAAAAAATGATCATTTTCAACAAAAGCAGCTTGATTCTCCATATGATCAGATCCCTAAAAAATGTAAAGTCTTCTGTCTTCTTTAACACTGCCAATCATCCTCTCTGATTCCTGTTTCTGAAAAACACAACCATGCATCGAAAATTAGCAACACAATTAAGCTCTATTGTCAGCTTACTAATAGAAATGAGATTGCATGTTAAATTAGGGACATGTAGAACAAAATTTAACACAATCTTCTCGAAGAGTTTTAATTGACCCATTCCCTGCAACTTTAGAAAAACTTTCATTCGCTATTTTGACCTGTGAGTTCCCATAGCATGGATTATAGGAATAGAATCGTGTTGGATTACCTGTCATGTGATCAGAGGCCCCGGAGTCAAGTATCCAACGA